ACATCTTAATGTCATCTGTGAATTTGAACAGGGTGCTTTTTACTCCCTCATTCAAGTCGCTGATGAAGATGTTGAACAGTGCGGTCCAAAGACCGAGCACTGGGGGACCCCACTGCCCACATCCCTCAAAAATGACCCATCCACCACCACTCTCTGGGTACAGCCCTCCAGACAGTTAGTGACCCATTTGACTGTGTACGTGTCGACACCACAGTCCCCTAATTTTTTAATGAGAATGGGGTGAGAGACAGTGTCGAAGGCTTTCCTAAAATCCAGAAAGACTACGTCTTGTTGTCCTTGATCTGGGTAGCTAGTCCCAGTTCCATCTCCGCCTTGGCCTTCCTGATTGCCCCCCTGCAGCCCCAAGCAACCAAGGTATAGTCCTCCCTGGTGATGGCCCCTCCCTTCCATTGGGTGTATGCCTCCCTTTTAGCTAGGAGACGTTCCTGTATGCTTTTCATGAGCCATGGGGGCTTTTGCGCCCTCTTGCCCCATTTGATCCATGTTGGGATTACCTCCCTTTGGTCCTAGCCAAAGGAGATGACCTCATGATCAATTTAAATATAGAGGGAAGTCTGGGCAACAGCGACCATGGAACCATCATGTTCACTGTCTGATGTAAGGGAGACAAATCCAATAGCAGGACTGAAGTTTTGGACTTCAAAAGTGCAAATTTCAACAAGCTTAGGTCATTAGTAGGTCACAAATGCTGCAGGACCAGGAACTGGAAGCAAGAGATGTGCATGAAACGTGGTTGTTCCTTAAGGACACAATCCTTAAAGCACAAAAGAAGCCCATTCCCATGTGGGAAAAAAGGTAACATAAGGGCTAAACAGGGAATCACGTTCCTCTTAAGAAAAAAGAAAGAGGCTTATAAACAATTGAAGCTCAGGGCGAGCCCCAAGGAGAACTATTCCATGACAGCCCACATTAGCAGGGAACAGATAAGACAGGCTAAAGCAGTGACTGAACTTAGATTAGCAACAGGAATCAAGGACAAAAAGTCCTTCTTTAGGTACATAGGGAACAGGAGGAAAACCAATGGGACTGTGGGGCCATTGCTCAAGAACCCAGGAGAGCTGGTTACCGATACCCAGGAGAAAGCTAAAGTCCTGAATGACCTCTTTGCCTTGGTCTTTCAATGGACCAAGGGAAAAACCACACCAGGTGGAGTAGAGTATGAGCATGGTATGAATAATTGCCTCCCTACACCATAGAATTGGTGTATGACCAATTAAAAAAATTAGACATATATAAGTAAATGGGACCAGATGATCTTCGTCTGACAGTACTGAAGAAGCTGATCAAAGTCATTGCAGAACCCCTGGTGAATCTCTTCCACAACTCATGGCACTCTGGAGAAGTCCCTGAGGACTGGACGAGGGCCAATGTTGTGCCCATCCACATGAAGGGCAGGAGGGAGGATCCAGGTAACTATAGGCCAATCGGCCTAACTTCCATCCTAGAGAAAACCCAGAAAATTTCATCAAGGAGTCTATCTGTAATAAGCTTGCAGAAGGTAAGATTGTGAATGACAGCCAGCATGGTTTCATTGCGGACAGGTCTTGCCTTACCAACCTAATCTTCTTCTATGACCAGGTAACTTGCCATCTAGACATGAGAGAGCAGGTTGACATTGTATACTTTGACTTCAAAAGGCCTTTGATCTAGTATCCCATAATGGCCTCACGAGAAAATTGGAGGATTGTAGGTTTAATTTCAAGACAGTCAGGTGGGTGAGAAACTGGCTTCACGATAGAACCCAGAGAGTCGTAGTGAAAGGATATGTGTCATCCTGGTGAGCAGTGGGTAGCAGTGTCCCACAGGGGTCAGTACTCAGTCCAGTACTTTTCAACATCTTTATTAATGATTTGGATGTGGGGGTGAAGAGCTCACTGGCCAAGTTTGAGGATGACACCAAGTTATAGGGAAGTGTGGTCATGCTTGAAGAAAACCTACAGATACAGGTGGACCTAGACAGGCTAGCAAGTTGGGTGGATTGGAACCTGATAAATTTAATGTTGAAAAATGTGATGTGCTTCACGTCAGGACAAGCAACCCCCAACACACCTACAGGCTTGGTGGCATCAAACTGACTAGCACCGTGAATGAAAGGGACCTCAGGGTAATAACAGACCACAGTATGAATATGAGCTGGCAGTGCAATGCTGTAGCCAGTAGGGCAAATAATACTCTGGCATGCATCAATTGATACATCTCCAGCAAAACCAAGGAGGTGATTCTTCTGCTCTACTCAGCACTGGTGAGACCACAGCTGGAGTACTGCATCCAGTTCTGGGCACTACACTTTAACAAGGATGTGGACAAGCTTGAGAGAGTCCAAAGAAGAGCCACCCATATGATCAGAGTCTTAAAAGGCAAGTCATATGAGGAAAGGGGATCTGAGGGATCTGGGACTCTTCAGCTTGAGGAAAAGGAAGTTGAGAGGGGACCTGGTAGCAGCTTACTGCTACACTAGTGGAATACATCAAGGGCTCTGTAAGCAACTGTTCACCAGGGTACTCGAGGGGAAGACCAGGAGTAATGGCCACAAACTCCTAGAAGATTGATTCAGGCTCAACATTAGGAAAAACTTTCACAGGCAGTGTCCAGGCTTCGGAATAGGCTCCCTCCAGAGGTGGTGCAATCATCTACCCTAGAAATCTTCAAGAGGAGACTAGACAGTCACCTTGCTGGGGTCACCTGACCCCCAGTTATCTTTCTTGCCTGGTGCAAGGGCTGGACCCGATGATCTTTCGAGATCCCTTCCATCCTTACAATCTAAGAAATCATAATGGTATCACCTATTCTATTTTATTATTTTTTTCCATGAGGATACAATTTTGACTTAACACCAATTGATGATAGGTGGCTTCCAATGAGATTTGCTTCATGATTTGGAGTACAGACAAAACCTGTTTTGCTATAACACTCATTTTACATGGATACCCAATTTCACTTCGTGCTAAGTGAGTTTTGTTATAATGCTCGCGGGCATTGTACTGCTGGCACTGGAACTGGCACCAATCCTGACAGCCTGATTCTGGTGATTTTGGTGGTTTTAAAAAGTGAAAGTGAAATTTGGTTTTGCTTAACACTCATTTTTTCAGGAATTAATTAAGAGTGCTAAGCAAGGTTTGCCTGTACCTGGAAACCCAAGCTTAAAATGGAACTCTGAAGGCATGTATACACATGCATTAATGTGTTGTAATTACAGTGCATTAAGTTTAGTACCTGTAAGAATAGGTATTAAATTAATGTGCCATAATGGGTGGTATTGCACAGTAGCACCAGCACACATCTTTTCCTTGACACTAATGCACAGCAGACTAATTCTACTGTGCATTATCGCATTAGCACAACGTTTGCTGTTATGCGCTAATGTGCAGTATAATTAGTCTACTGTGCTTCTAGCATGTTGTATTGATGCATCCTGAAGGTGTATCTACTAATTAGCTCTGTAGTAAGGCATCACCATCTATTTATGTGCTAGTATTAGGGTGCAAAAAACTAATTAACTCTGCCATAAGATAGTACTGTCAGAGACAGTACTTACAGTAGAATAATAAGCTACACTGAAATGCACATGTAGACAATGACCAGGCAGGGACCAGACTCCTGGCTGCTGCCTGGCCACATGGCTCCACATGTTTGGCACCCTAGTGCCCCAGCTAGCCCCTCTGTCACCCTCTTCTGCCATCTGGAGCCTGGGACTAACATCATGAGCCTGCTGCTAGCTTGGGCCAGCTCCACTCCAGCTCAGAGTGCTGCTATCTGAGGCACACATGTAGACATTGTGCCCAGTACCAGTGTACTCTGGCTCAAATAGCTCTGGGGTTTACTGCTTTGCCTTAATTAATTGCTTGTGTAGATGCACCCCAAAAGCCTAAATCCAAACTAAGGCTTGCACTAAGGTCTTCTAGCTTGGACTCCTCTGCCTGTGCAAAAAAGACCTCAGTGATAATCAGTACAATCACAGGGGATGGACCTCACCGATCAAAACCAGGGTTATTGCCATAATTTTCATATCTCATCTTAGAACCCAAGTCAATTAAATGTGCTAAGTCTGACTTGGCATTGTCAAATTTTCAATATTTAAAAAAAAAATCTTGGAAAAAACCCCCAAATTACTTAGTTGTTTTTTTTTTCACATAGGTCTGTAGGAATTAACAAAACATACATAATCAAGCATGTTATATTGCACTACATGGGCATGTCCATACATGCAAGCATGTGCACTTAAAGCAGCTCAAATAGAAGCAGTACAACTTTGAGCCAGGGCTTTTTGCTGCCACACATGTGCTCAGATATGCACTTTGGTGTGCAGCAAATTGTGCCACCTGGGGCAAAATAACCCTGCCTGCCTCCTCCCGGATCTGCATCCAGGGGGAGCTAGAGCCAGGGGCTAGCACCTGTGCTGGCCCCATCAATAAAAAAGCTGCCCTGGCAAGTAGCTCAGGGCTACTTACTCTCAGGAACTTCTGGGGACTGGCCAACTGGTATCTGGAAACACTAGCCCTTGTGTCAGCTGCACTTCTGAAGCATCCCTGAGAATTATCTGCACCCTCTACCCACTGCAGCAGTCCGGCAGTGGGGGCTGCTGCCACCTGCAACAGTATGTGGCCCCAAGGCTGCGTGCCTGCCAGACCCAGATGGGGACTGCATGGGCAGTAGAGGCACCTGCCCCTCTGGGCCAACTGCCAGCAGGCTGTGGCTGCATAGTTGGCTTTATTAGGCACTACTGTCACGTGTGCCCTTGCCCGGCCATCTGGGCAGCTATCACCTGGAAGATGTTCCCATTTAGTGGCCTGCTTTGAACTGTCAAAGCATGTCCTCCTGGCCCCAAGTGGCTAGGAGGTCAGCCACCTCTAGCTGGGTTCCAGGTGCTTGCCCTGACCAGGATCCTCTGCCTGGTTCTTGCCACTGGTCTCCCTAGCAGGAATTCCAGTGTTCCTTATTTAAAACCTGCAAAATCTCTGGAAAAAAAAAATCCCATATTCACTGTTTAAAATACCCCAAAATCCATGTTCCTCCCCAATTAAAACAAAAGACCACTCTCTCTATAGGTAGATAGATAGATCTATATAGAGAGAGAAAGAGATCAGTTAGGCAATGTTTTATTGATATATTTAAAATTGTAAAGCAACTTGGAAGCCTACCAGTGCCTCCATCATCATAATAAAATAAATTCTACTTATCTATACAGTTTGGCATTGACTTTGGGCTTCTCTGTCATATAAAAATCAGAGCTACCACTACCCCCTTCACTCACCAGGATGTACAGAGCTGAACAGCACTGATATGCCACTGTCCTGTCCCTGCCTTTGCCCCTCACTCTCAACCCAGAACTTTCCCCGCCACCCCATTCCCCTCACTCCTGCCCCACAGGGCCAGGAATGTGGGTGAGAGGTTTTTGGGGTGGCTTGGGGTTGTGGGGTTTGTGGGTGGATTGTGGGAGGAGTGTGGCTGTGGAGGGGGCTAAAAGGGGGGGCTGCTCAGAAGGGGTGGGTCCCCTGTCCCCCGCAGGGCACAGGCCCCCTGCACACCTCATGGATTTCCCCCCCACAGCTGCCACATGTCCCCCACAGGGGTCATACCAACTGGGACCTGGCTTCATGCCAGGTAAGTAGGGGATGGGGGGAGCTGGAGGAGCAGATGGGGACTACTGAGGGTGCAGGAGACCATAGGGGGGCAACTCGGGAGGGGTGGGTCTGCCAACATGCTGGCCCATGGCCGGCTGTGGCCTGCTTGCCTGCCCCCTGCTTGGCTGCAGCCCCCCTGCACCCTCCCCACCCAGCTCCAAACTTCCCTACAGCTTAGCAGCAATAGCAGCCATCCTCTTGGCCTTGTAGCACAGCCCTTCTGCATGATGGGGGGGGCAGCATGGCTTGGCCCCAGCTGCCACGTATCTGTCTGGCCTCTGCCACAGTGCACTGCTGCAGCTTGGCATGGTGCAGCATGGTGCAGCATGAAGCAGAACTGTGTGCTTTCAGGCAGCTCCAGGCTGTCACCAAGGACTGTGCGCCACTTGCAGGGACTGCCGGCCACACCATCCCAGGTCCTGCATGCACAGAAGTGGCCGGGCTGGATGAGACAGGGAGGAATTATGTCTCCACAGATGTCTCTGTGGAGGACCAAGTCTCTGGTTGCCTCAGGCCATGGTCCTGTGCCCTGCTCCATTTTTTTTTGCTGTTTCATAGTTTCATAGTTTCTAGGGTCAGAAGGGACCTGAGAAGATCATCTAGTCCGACCCCCTGCCATGGCAGGAAAGAGTACTAGGGTCAAACAACCCCAGCAAGTTGTTCATCTAACCTCTTCTTAAAAACCCCCAGGGTAGGAGCCTGCACCACCTC